TTGGGATTCGAACCACTGACCTCTGCGATAATAGTGCGGTGCTCTACCAATTGAGCTAACAAGCCAACTGGGAGCAGGCCGTTATGTTGATTCGTAATAAATCCGTGATGACAAATCAGATACGATGAATATATGAAGTTCATATATTTGAACTGTGGTTATAGATATGTATGATGCACGATCCTCGCAGTAGAAAGCGCTATTTATGCAATAGCGAAAATCAGACCTGAAAAAAATCAGGCCTGTACTGGATTCGAACCACTGGCCTCTGCGACCTCTGCGATACTAGTGCAGAGGGTTTATTACAAATCAACTTAATGGCCTGCTCCCAGTTGGCTTGTTAGCTCAATTGGTAGAGCGCTGCACTAGTATCACAGAGGTCAGTGGTTCAAATCCCATACAGGCCTGATTTTTTTCAAGTCTGATTTTTGCTATTGCACAAATAGTGCTCTCTACTGTGAGGATCATGCATCACACGTATCTATAACCGCAGTTCAAAATATATGAACTTCATATATTCATCGTATCGCATTTCATACCTTTAAATATTTCCCCACAGCACGATGAACTTGCTTCCGTTTGTAAAAGTCATTTCCAGCCTAGAAACAATGAATAACAGAAACTGTTAAAAAACTATTCATAGTTTCATGCTCCAAACAAAACATTTTCATTGGTCCAATTGTCACAGTTGAGTGGGAAAACTGTCTCATTTGAAAAATAAACTTGCAGGAAACAATATTCACACTTCACGGTTGAATGCAAATTGTAGTATCACAGATTGCTCTAAATAAATAAAAACAAACAAACAAATGAATAAAACACAAATCACCACAAAAAAGCTGGTGAATGAATTAGAAATGAGGTACAGTAGAACCTGTTAATTTGAACTCTCAAGGAAAAAGAATCTGTTTGAGTTAGCAAGGGTTCAAGTTATTGGAATTGGTGTTAAATTTCAAATATCTTGTCAATATTTCTTAAGAAACCCTGTTTTCCCCATTCTTGCACAATCAAGAGTCATCTCATTCAGTTGTTTCAGTTTTGTAAGAATGTTTAGTTTGGGAAATTTAGCCAAATGTGTTCTGTTTTCCTAAAAGTTATGTATCAATCGCAATTAAAAATTGGATTGTGTAAATCAACCATGTTCTGACACTTCCAATTGATGTTTGTCAAACAATGTTTTTACTTACAGTTCAAGATATCAGATTAAATTTGAGCCAAGAGAAAGTAAAATTAGTTTGCGTTAACATGGAGTTCGAGTTAGCTGAGCGCAAGTTGACTTAGTCTCAACCCAATGACTGAAAAAATGGGGTCAAATCCAAGGGAAATCAGATGTTGTTTAAGTTATCATTTGCTTTGATGATATAACCATTTCAGAAATGGAGCAGGACGTTTCAACTTTTAAGTGCAAGCATTTTCAAGGGTATGAGGTTGATCAGTTATCACAATAACAAAATACTTATTTAGAGACTTTAAAAATAATGTAAATAATGTAAAAATAATGTAAATAAATCAATAAAATTTAAAACTGCCTCATGTACCTCTCTTTCTGAGTTAGCCACTTCAAGGAGTTGCTCAAATGATGCCTGCTTCCTCTCTTCCTGTAAGCAGAGAAGATTTCTGCCTTTTTTTCCTTCAAAAAATTTAACCACACATGGAACACATACGTTCCCTTACAGTCTGTGACACACTCTAACTTCTGGCTTAAAGCCATTACCTTTCCACTTATGGTAAATCAGGGGTTTCATTAATGTTTTCTGCAGGAGGGCAACTGGTTTTCACAGGTGGGCAAAACTCTTTGAACTGAACTTCTTTATTAAATAAACTTTCCTCCAGATGGTCAAATCAGGTGGGCAAAGCCGTCCTTACAACCGGTCAATTTGCCCAGTGCCTGGCCCTTAATGAAACCCCTGGTAAATAGTACACTTTGATTACACCAGATGAAAGACCCTTAGCACTGTAATTTATTGAGAGTTGTTTCCCCTGTAGCAAGCACAAAAGTAACTTTGAGCAGCACCTCTAAATCAAAAGACATTTGCTTTTTACTTGGTGAAAAATAGGGTGATTCAATGGCCTAGTGGTCAGTGCACTGGACTCTGGGGTTGAGAAGTCAGGTTTAAGACCTGGCCAAGTGTTGTGTTGTTGGGCAAAACACTTTACCCTCACAGTGTCTCTATCCACCCAGGAGTGTTATTGGGTACCAGTGCTTCTCTCCACCCAGGAGTGTCATTGGGTACCAGTGCCTCTCTCCACCCAGGTGTGTTATTGGGTACCAGTGCCTCTCTCCACCCAGGAGTGATATTGGGTACCAGTACCTCTCTCCACCTGGGAGTGTTATTGGGTACCAGTGCCTCTCTCCACCCAGGAGTGTTATTGGGTACCAGTGCCTCTTCCCTTCCAGGAGTATTATTGGGTACCAGTGCCTCTCCCCTTCCAGGAGTATTATTGGGTACCAGTGCCTCTCTCCAACCAGGAGTGTTATTGGGTACCAGTGCCTCTCCCCTTCCAGGGGTATTATTGGGTACCAGTGCCTCTCTCCACCCAGGAGTGTTATTGGGTACCAGTGCCTCTCCCCTTCCAGGAGTATTATTGGGTACCAGTGCCTCTCCCCATCCAGGAGTATCATTGGGACCAGTGAATTGTTAGGGAAGTGTGATGAAATGTATCCCATCCAGAGGAGGTGGTAATACTAAGATCTTGTTGCCTCATGATATGGAAACCAGGACACACTTTGGTTGGGTGGGTTAATAGACTTAAGTACAGACTTTATCTTCCCTCTAGACTAAATATAATCAAGACATGGTTGGTTGGCTGGTAGTTCCATGCTGTGCAGGCTGGCAGGCAGCATGCAGGTTCCCTTCCCTCCCCCCCCCGCTCCAATATTTCAGGGAATTATACATTCAAGAGATGGCATAAATTAGCTCTGCTTGAATTATCTTTGTAGATAATCAAGCAACACTGCTTTAATCTGTTCTCTAGGCCCTCCCTGCTTTGAGGCACCAGCCCCAAGTTTGTCATTTGTCAAAAAGCTGGTTTGATTAAACTTTTAAAACGTAGCTAAATTAAATATAATTCTAATGCATGACAAGAATCATGCAGAGCAAACAAATATGTTACATGTCTACTAACCTCAGTAAATGCATCAAAATCATCTGCTGCTTTGTGGTCAATGAAGCTCAGTAACTCCACTTCAAATAGTACTGTAGAGAAAAATAAAATAAGACTGGGACTGCATTCACACTTTCACAGTTTTTTTTTTTTTTTTTAATCACAGCAACATGCCTAAGAAGACAAACCTTTTGCTGATGCAGGTATGCGAGGAGTGCAGCCCATCTCCAGATAAGCATATTCTGGAGTCACAAGAAACTTGGACTTTTCTCCTTTCCTCATGGTGCGTAAACCATAATAGAGTCCTAGAATGTTTTCCTCTGAAACCATAAGAGTTTAACTTAAGTTCTGGTGTACACATGGCTGTGCTCTAAGAAAAATTGAAGGGAGCCCAGTGCTCTGAAACTGTGAAATCCAGGGTGCCCAAGATATGCCTTTTGTGAAAAGACTAAGATTCCTGAGTTGCCCAAGAGCAAAAGTAAAGTGCCAGGGGCCATTGGGCACTGCTAGACCACAGCCCTGGTACATATAAAAGTTAAAATTGATTCCAGGTAAAAAATGATTTGAAAATACTAGTTCAGTTTGTACATTCCTTTGTTTAATGACTAAGGTAGTTTATAACATAATGAACATAGTACACATCCTCTGATTGGTCAATTTAGTTTCCAAGCAGATGCTTTATCAGGTCATAGAGCCTTTATGTAACTAGTTATGTCATAAAAGCAATAGAAAACATTTTTTCCAGGCTCTATAACAAGATAAAGCCACTTCAGATGTCGGGAGAACACTTGGAAAGCTTATATACAAAACACTTGCTTTCGGCTTGTGATTTATAGGCTTTCCTCGTGTTCTTCCACATCTGGTGTGGCTTCATCACATTAAAGAACCCAGAAAAATGTGTTCTGTTACTCATTATAGGTATCTGGAACAAAGGATGAAATATCATATCAAGCTAGTTTAAAACAAATCCAACTTTACAAGTGACATTTTGAAATTGTTCATGTATCAAGGATCAAGAGGGAGGGAGTGGGGGAGAAGATGAGAGACATAACAACCCAGTAGTTGGCACACTAAGTGAAAGATTAACCTAAGGGAGTCATTTCCAGAATGTTCAGAAAAACGTTTTTAGGATAAGATTACAAACAAATTTTTACCACCTCATTTGTGGAGCATGCACTAACATATTCCTACCCTGTCAAAGACTTCTGATCCAAAAATCCATCCTTGTAAAAGTATTTTATGATAGTTCAATCTAAGCGGGTGCCCCTTTTATGTTGTTCTTACTACAATTTAACATCATCTGTGATCTGTTACTGAACAGACACACAGCAAAATGGAACCTAATTGTTTATGTTACACTTACCAAGCTTATGAATTTCTGGTTTATTTCTTAACCTTGAGGAATCAAAAGGCTCATCGTTGAACTCCAAATAACCATTATAATGGTCTACAAACAGAGAAAATATCCATATTTAACAAGATAAGTACAGAGTAAGGATATTGAGGGATTTTTTCTTCCAATTTCTACCTGTTTCTCTGGAGGCAAAGTATACAAAAAAGTTTGGTGAAATCTTTTCAAACAATTTAAGCTCAGCTGTCTTGTAAAAACAACCAAAAAAGGCAGACTACAGTAACAACAATAGTTGAGCAGTCATGTAGCAGGTCAGCCCATTTTTGTAACAAAGTTTCGTGATCTAAAATTAAAATGAGTTTGGTATTTGTGTACTAGTGACATCTTTATGATAAATAAAATAAAATTCTGCTTCTGTCAATACCCTGATCCATTTTCCTTCTGGAAACTAGGCTTTTCTTTTCTGGCAATCAATCTACAGCTTTAGGTTTTCCAAACGGTGACTTTCGAAAAGCTTTGTACTGGGAGTGCTGTCTAAAGTTCTTTCCAGAATATTTCATAAGCATTACTATACAAAAGTGTCTTGACAAGAGAATTGTTTTGCTTATAAACTTCACCACATGTCTTTGCAGTCAAAAGAGGCATCCCGCTTTTCTAGCTTATTACAAACGTTTTGCTTCGGTGATTCTTTCAACGCAAGACAGGTAACTTACTTAAGAACAGTACTATTTTAGCCTTGTAACAAATCTAATGTACGCACATCTCACAGTGGCTCCTTCAGGTACAACAGGTCCTGTTCCCTTTCTAATCATTCGCTTAAAAACTCCTCCATCTCCTGTGAGATCTTCCATGCCACGTGCAAGGCGTTGAAAAGGTGTCTAACATATGAAAGCATGATGAAAATAAGCTTTACTTTATTAGGTTATCTATTCATATGCTTAATTACGTAGGAACAGTTTTGTGACCATGTCTGGGGGATAGGGGAGCAAAGTTACATATACATACACACACACACACACACACACACACACACACATACAGACATACACACATACATACATACATACATACATACACACATACATACATAGATACATACACACATACATACATACACAAACACATACATACATACACACACACACACATACAGACATACACACATACACACATACATACACACATACATACACATATACACACATACATACATACAAACATAACACATACATACATACATACATACATACACACACACACACACACACACACACACACACACACACACATACAGACATACACACATACATACATACACACATACATACATACATACATACATACATACATACATACATACATTCACACACACACACACATACATACATACATACATACATACATACATACATACATACANTCCCGCGCTCTAACCAATTGAGCTAACTGGGAGGCGGTTAGATGTGGACCAAGTTAACACTTGGTCTACATCTCTCTCCACAGACTGAAGTCCATTGACACATCCACATGATCCAAAATAAAAATATCACGTCTAATCCACATTAAGTGCATGACAGAATGGAGTGAGAGAATTCTAGGTTTCTACCCAAAAAAAACTTTGTTACCACCATTAAAAAGGAAACCCAAAACAATTTAATCACTGCAAAATCTTAGATATTTCCTCTCGATTATGGAATAATATGCATCCAAACTTAATTTTAATTGGTTAGGAAACCTTGAGATTCTTCATGGTTCAAGATCCCAGAAAGGCCAAGAGAGTTGACATATACATGCAAGCAAATAGGGTAAGATGCTGATCTAGTCTCTTGGCTTCCCCCTTTCCTCGCTGCTCCTCCACCCTTCTCTCCAGGAAAATGCTGCCTACATCCCTGTAAGGTCTATAACAATCTGAGAAACATACCAAATCATCATCTCTGTCTGAGCCAGAATCATCTCCAAAGTCATTGGCCTCCTAGTTAAGCTGCTGGAAAACATCCTCAGAGTCAAAATATTGTGATTCCTCTTCATCCTCAAAAGCAGCTTGAAAGAAGAGAGAAAACAACAGATTCATGAGAAAAATCTCCTTTCCACTTCTATATTCACTACTTGAGCAGGGGTCCTGGCTAGAAATACCCAAATTCATCTTTTAGATCAAGAATAACATTACCACACTTGGTTATATCATTTTGTGGAGCTGTGGAGCTCTGGAATGCCATGCGGGAGGTCAAGGGTTCAAGCCCTAAAACAGACTAACACCTGGGGTCTTAAAATAACTGAGAATCTGCTACCATTGATATGACATCTGCAAATGGTTAGATGTTCCTTTGGCCCTATCTCCTGTATCTTCTCTACATTGGTTAGCAAGGGAGATTAAAGAACCCAGTGTTGTGGTCTGGCCTTGTTATTGTTTATACATATATAAAAATAAATGAATAAATAAGGTAATAACATAAAAAATAATATATCCAAAAAAACAAGACTGATTAAGAACAGGTTTTCTGTGTATGGCAAAAAGCCGACCTCAAATATTTGGCTTTGCTGAAGCATTGCAGCCGATCGACCACTGGGGTATCTGGTCGGAACACAAGATTCGCTCCATGCCAAGCAATAGGTTTGATATCTACTACCAAGCCAGTTGTTGAGTGCAGGATTGGTCCAACCAATTGTCCTTACCCATGTTACTGAGATCTGTCTCAAACATGCTACCGTCTCCTTGAATCAGGTCATTAATATCTATACCCTGTTTTAAGGGCACGGTGTAACGATTAGGAACCTGCAAGAACACAAACAGTAGTCAAAACAAGAAAGCACGTGGAACACGTTGATGTACAACAACCGACCGATTTGTTAGCAATTGTGGAAAATTCAACGACATACATAACCATCTCTCCCTGCCAGCCTTAGATCTTCTAAACAATCGATAACCTCCGGTGTGTCCATTGCACTCTGTTCTTTCTCTGGGTCCATTGGACCATACAAGTAATTGGACAAGATTGCACAAATTCAAGATGGCGCGCGAAAGGAAGAGGGTAGGAGCTTGCATGGGAAACAGTTTGACAGAATTCATGATAGTGGGGAGGGGTGGGTGAAAGGCGTTAGACTATGCCGTACACCAGGCACCTCAGCATCAGTATGCATATTCTCGATAAGGTTCTCCATAAATTTCCTAAGGTGCTGACAATGAGAATTTGTTTAACAATCAGGTGTTTCTCTAATTGGTGATCATTTCCTTTAATCTTGTGAACCTATTTTAATCAGGGATAAAACTATATGGAGAAAATCAGAAGGTAGTCACTCTTCGGGGTTAAATTTCCTTTAAAATTGCGAATTAATTTCCTTCTTTAAATACATTATTGCATTATAAGAAAGTTTCTATAAGGTTAATGATCTAGCTAAGAGTAATAGTTTTTGGGTAAGGCCCAAGAAAAATCAGCAGTACAGTTTGACCGTAACTCCTTAGTCCTTCGTCACTAGAGATCAAAATACACGCTTTCTTTCAGAATCTTCATTGAAAAGTCTGGATTTGTCGCTTGTTATTTGTACGGTGTAGAAATCGAAGTTTTTCCTTGAACAACGAAAGGCCAAACTTATCAAGAGCTGAATGTGCTTTTTTTTTAAAACTCTCACCTGCGATGACTGCGATCGCCAGTCCATGTTATGAAGTGAAATTCTTGTTTTTGTCGATGCTGTTCCTTCGTAGTGGAATGGAAAAATTTCTTTCAATGATTGAAAAAAAGCAATGTTAAGGGCTGGTTGATCGTCTGTTACTCTCTATACTCCTTGACTTTATGACTTCTCTTATCATGAGAAAATAGCCTTGATGACTGATCAAAGCATACCTTCTCTCATAATGAATTCGGCGTGAAAAACGGATGTTCGGTTACCGAGGTAACTGTCATTTCAAATGAGTCATGTCTAATTTTCTTTGATCAAAATCATAATAACTTGTTTACTCATGGATGTATGGGATTACTTGGATACCCTGAAGTTGACTCTTGTACGGGTAAAGGCTGATAGTTTCTAAAGAAACTGTTTGGGGCTGCGTCGGTGGGGGTAACGAAATAATTTGGATATATTACAAAAGCTGACGTTTCGAGCGTTAGCCCTTCGTCGTTACGGTGGCCAATTTACCATTTCAACTTTGTTGATATATCCAAATTATCTTGTACGGGTACTTCCTGGAAATTTCCTTTCAAACTCTTCCGATCATTTCTAGTTTACTAATTTACGATCAGGAAAGAGATCCTTTATTTTTACTTTAATTAGAGTTTTTGCACCTTCTTTGGAGGTGACTGTACGCGCAAACACCTATAATTTCCATCTTTCGCACTGAATTTGTAACTAGGACATTTGATCGGGGAACAATTTGCTCTTAAATTCACCTGGCACCTATGTGAGACACTTCTACTTAAACTTCTTTCTTTATTTCGATGCAGTGCATCTGTCTTTAAACCCCCATATCTCTGTTATCACTTTATTAAGTTTGATTCTAATTCTTTCGATCTCGGTCCAGTTGTATAAAGGGCGTATAACGCTTTCCAACGGATAAATCCCCATTAGCGGATAAGTGATAGCAAAACGCACTACGCTATCCACTGGATAGAGATTTAGCGTTATCCAACCTTTGAACGACCGGGGCCTGTTTCTTATTCTAACATCGCTAACTTTTGCGGCTACTGCCTCCTATGGAGTCGAAACCACTATGAAGCCGGATTGTAAGAGTGAGTGAGTGTAATTAACAAAAGTACGGCGAACTCCACCCGATCTTGACCCGATGTTACTTATTGTTTGTTTGGAAGAATCTCCGTGTTAGGTTTAAACGCGTTTTTGTATATTTCGTTTACTCGTTACGTGTCAATGGTACCTGTAATAGTTTCATATGACGTTTCGTTCACTGGTCAATACATCACGCAATTTAGCTCGATCGCTCCGTAGGGACTCTTTCCGTTTTCCTACACGTGTCAGGTTTTAGGTTTTAGGTTTAAGTGAGAGTATTCAAATTGAGATAGTTGCGATCGGCTACGAGCTACAGCTATCTACCAAAAGTTTTCTTGCTACCGTGCATGCTGTTGTCTCCTCTAGGAGCTAGACCAAAGTAAGTTCCTGTACATTTATTATAGGTTTATTTTATCTTAGTTTCGTCACATTGTCCATTTATTTTGGGCTTTTAGTTTTCTACATAGTCATTTCTTTATTTCTAGCGTTACGTTCTTGTAGCTCATTATACTTAGGTAGTTGTCTTCCTATTTCGTTTATAGTTCGAATCACGAAGTCACAAAGCTTTACCATCATAATTTCAAGCTATCGGCATAATAGTCATACGTTGATTGTATTTACGTTGGACTTTGGCATTATACGTGCGTTGGAATTCAGCTCCGACTCTATTTACGCTACACCAGTGGAGTTTTCCACAAAGGTAACTTCCCAAGGTTACACACCGTAGTTCGACACTCGCACTAGAGATAATTGGGGGCATCATACTTTAAGGAAAAATTACGGTGCGCCTTTCAAAACAGATTATTTTGCGTCTAGCACTGAACAGAAGTTGCCGTGGCGCTCCATTTGAAATCACTTCATCATGATCATGGTCTCTAGTCCATACGTGATCGAAAAAAGAAAATAAAGAGGAAAAAACGTTTCTGATATAGAACCAAGTAACTGTGCTTAGCGTACCATAAAAAGGGAATTATACTGTTTGAATTTGAGACCCAGGCGGTATACGTACACCAAACTATACCCAAGTGTTCCTTCCCCTATAAAAAAAAAAACAACGGTTTGTATAACAAACTTTTCCTGATAATTTATTGTCTTTACAATACACCTCACTTAACACTCTGAACCCCAGTTCTTCAAAAGCTTCACTGAAAAACGGTTTACAAGCACATGCCACTGTTACAACGCCAAAACAGTCCAGCAACTGACACAGACATTTTGAACGTGAATCAACTGAGAGATCGGCCATTCTGACAAAAACCCAATATTCTCCAAGCCTGAGCCGAATAATTGTTAAGTATAGTTGCTTTGGTGCTTTTGAATACTGATGTAAATTCGTTTTGTTGTCGATACCATTCTGCTAAAATGACTTTGGTTCATCGTATCGAGCCCCAGGTAAGCAGCCAGTTTCTACTAAAAAATTTAACAGGTTTATTCAATTCAATCAGCAAAAACTTTTAAAATATCCTTCTTTTGAGAAGTGTTCCGCCAAACTTTGGCATCTTTTTGGCTCTTCAGAATTTTTTTTTTTCCATCGTGTCTATGACTTCTTGCGTAACATTTACAAAACGTGAGGTTTGAAATTTAGCGACCCTGCTCTTATCACCTCACGCGAGGCGATTGTAGCGAGAAATGATTCCATCCTCAACCAATCAGAGCACACACGTCTATAATCACCGAGGAAATTAAACTTAATACTATTACAACCCGAAGCATGCGAAAGAACAAAAAGACCAACAATTTCATTTTTAACATTCAATTGACACAATATTCATGAGAAAATCACTTGTCAATATGAACAAGTCAAGATTTCGTTGTTTTGTATTCAATATCTAATCAGCTGGATTTGAACTAGTTGGTATCTACTATTTCAGTTCTGCTCTCTGATTTATTTTCATAGTCTGAATGGCCCCGCTATCAGTTCATGCACCGTAAACCTCTAGAACAGCCCCACCCAAGAAAATAAAATCACATAAATATGGAAGAAAGTGGAATGGAACATTTGATGATACCAATAGCATACTTCCACGTTGTAACAGAAACAAATGTTTTAAATAAAATGCCAGATTGAACTTTAGAAAAATAATTGCTCATGTGGTAATTATTCAAAGGTATAATTTTGATAAGAAAAAAACATTACCCTATGTAGACTAGCTGTGCTTCTTAAATCTAGCATTAACCTAGTACACACAAATCCCTTAAACCTGAGAACCTCACAGCTGTGAGTATCAGAATGATTCATAAGATAACCATCTGAGATCTTTGAGGGCAATTCTGTTCACATAATCATGTTTACAATCGACATCTTACTAGGATATAACAGGCAAATTTAAGTAACCACTAAATTCGCCTAACAAAAATCAAAACACAATCTAATACTAAAATTAGTGAGAATTATGGGGGCCATCAAGAAGGAGGAATTGTTGATCAAATAGATACCCCAATTTAGTGGGTTATAGGAAGAGCCATCATGTGGCCAAAGATTGCTCATTTATCTTTGAGCTATGCTCCTCTATGCAGACTTGTCCTTGTTTTCACCGGCTAAAAAGAGAAGCATTCTCTAGAAACCATATGATTTTTGTCTCTGCCATATAAAAAGTATAAAGGAAATGTTATTAACTGTGATTTTATGAGTGGTCATGATCCTGTGCTGTTTTCAAAATGGCAGCATCTATGGTAAAATTTGAGTTGGTTAGGTAACTCTTTAGAATCTCAAACGGCAGTTGGCATAAATTTTTATAGCAATTCCACCGTGCAGAGATAAAATCAAAATGGGTTCTGAAGCAAACCATTTACTCCCCAAGATCTGAAAGTAGTTTCTCTAAACTGGTATCAGTACATTCATCTGTTTCCTTTTGGTTTGTTCTCAGAATTTGGTATCATATCCAGAAAATACCCCTTTAGTTGATAATTGTAGACTTCTCAGCACTTATCTGCATGCCAGTTGACTGGAGCAGTAAGGAAAATCTATACAATGATTGACACAGAGAGTCAAAGGATGAATAACACAGGACAAAATCACAGGTACATCTGGTATTATAGTAGTGATGTTGCCAACAAGTATCGTAAAAACTTTGGTACATTTACTGGAGAGGTCCAAATGGTAATGGGATCATTATTCTTGATTCCATTCGACGAATTAGTGGGACTAAAATATAAAATGGAAAAATTGTTAAAATAAACTGTAAGGTTTCGCAATTAATATGACTAGTTACAGTCAAACTAAGTGAAGCGTACCCCTCAGGATTACATTAATGATTTGATTAATTGAATATTGAACCCGCTAATCGTTTCAGGAGCGCAATAACGAATTGAATATTTGAACATGGAACCCGCTAACTCTTTCAAGAATGCAATTTACCACCTTCATATATGGCTGCCTGATTAACATACTTTTGTTAAAATTTAAATTAGCCTTTCTGGCCTCATTCTCCAGTACAAAATTCAAAAGAATACATCATCTCAAGCGAGGCCAGAAAGGCTAATTTAAATTCAAACAAAAGAATATTAATCCGGCAGCCATTTATGAAAGTGGTCAATAATGGATTGATTATTTGAATATTGAACTCGATAGCTGTTTTCGTTTTGAAAAGGCGCGGATCATTGTTCAAATGAGAAGTCCATTTCTGATTGGATATGCGAACACGCAATGATGGATCGGAACTATTTCAACATGGTGTCAGACATGGCGGGAAAGGTGAGTTCGAGTGTTGTGTAGAACTTCTTGTAAATGTTGTAGAAGGAATGTTATAGAGAGCTTTTTTCGCCGATTTACATCTTGAACAAGTTGCAGAAATTCTTGTGTGTATTCATGGTTGAAAAAAATAGTTTCGGGGCAAAGCCATCGCAAGACTTTTTTTATTTTTAGTTAATATTGCGATTGAATGTTTTCACAGTGTTTTTACAGTGCAGTTTGTTCATTTTCAGGATTCCTTGTCAAATAGAACAATCTTATTGGACTTCAGAAATGGACTTCTAATTTGAACAATGATCTGCACCTTTTCAAAACAGATATGGCTATCGGGTTCAATATTCACATAATAATTCCATTACTGCATTTCATATAAACAGCTAGCAGGTTCAATAATCAAATAATCAATTCATTATTGCATTCTTGAAAAGACTGGCGGGTTCAAAACCCAAATGATCAATTCATTAATGTAATCTTGAGGGGTACGCTTCACTTAGTTTGACTGTAACAGCATGCAGATCAACTCTCTGCAGAATCCAAAAGCTGACGGAGGCAAACAACTGGTATTCTTGACACTGGAAAATCATTTTGTTGTGCAATAGCTTGGTTTGACAATTATTGTAGGTGACCACATCTGTTTAACAACATTGGTCTAGAGAATTATTCCAAGAAAACTTAAGGTAGCAGTGTACCATTTCCGACAGATGAGCATGGACACAAGCATGTATAACAAACAGAATATCAATTGCAGCAAAACACAGTTAGACCACACAGTCCCACATTTTCAGCAAAGTCCATTGCACAAGTCAAAAAAGTCAATGAAAAAAAAATTATCTTGGTGTGCTGCACAGAACTCTATGCCTCACTCCCAAAGTTCCATGCACACAATCAATATTTTTGTCAATGATTTTTATAGACTTGTGCTATGGACTTTGCTAAAAAGGAGGGTGCTGCTCACAGTCTAATATTGCTCACAAGCAGATCATTATTTTTATGCAATTATATACAGGTCATGCAGTGACTTCTTGGCAAATGAAAAGGAAGAAAAAATGCTTTGAATAAATGATCATATTTATTAAATCTTACACCACCAAAACTCAAGATGAAATTTCTGAAATAAACGTAATGGGTATTGTGCTACAAACATTTCTTGTCCACTTGCTTTGCATGAACTTCATTTTCAAAAAATAATTAATGCTCTGTGTTCAACCTTAAAAAATAAGATAGTTAAGTTCCAAATAAAAAATCCTTGGAAAGAGACACAGAGAAAGCCTTGTTGATGCAATGCAAATATCAATCCCAAATGACAGGAAACCTCTATTTAGTTTGTAGCCTAGAGTAATCCCTGAAAAGAGATTCCATGATATCATTAAGGTACTACATACCAGTGTTAGCAACACATGTGTCCCATCCAGGCTGGTTCCACATATTTTGCCTTATCTTCTGCCTGGTGGCAAGGTCTTCATAAGCTGCATAACATAAAAAAAAATTGATGTTTCAAAGGTACCCATAATAACTGAAATATTGTTAACAGACATTCTTTGGGAAAGGATTGCATGATGATCCAGAATTTGTAGAACACGTGAAATGAAGCAAGACCTACCCCAAATGTGATGAACAACATAAAGTTCTCCTATCTGGGAAAATAAACCAGCTACAGCATCATCTTCTTGTTGACGGATCTGAATGGCTTGACCCCTGGCAAAAAAAACAAGGATTCACAACTAAATAGCATAAAAAGGTGCTTGGGTGTTAACAGTGCAAACAAAATCTAAAAGGGTAAGGAATGATATCTTAAGGGTTGTGCTAGATATTGCCAATCTAAACTTCTAGCTTGCTCCAAACTTTAGGCTAGTACACAAAGGGCTATTGTGCTTGCTAAGTGGCATTTCTCTTTAATTTTTTTTTTAACATTTTCCTGCAAAAAGCAATATTTCAGCTGAGGTACAAGAATGCCTTTCTGCTTCTTACCAATTGTTTCCCCACTCAATTAGGGTACCAGGCTAAAAATGGCAGAAAAAAACAGGTAGTTAGCAGTTTATAGATATAAAGGTCTTCAAATACAAACATACTTAAACAAGAACCTTGTTTACTTGCCTACTGGTCTCTGATAATAAAATGCCTTGTAGCATGAAAATTGTAATTAATATTTATTGACATTATTTATAACAAGAAGCAGACCAATTTCCAACAAGAGCAAAGAATGAAGAAAACCATCTGCTTCAATGTAAAGATAACGTTCACGGTCAAATATTCAAGCAAATTTTCAAATCAAAGGGAGCCTACCATGCTTATCACCTCCAAATATCCTCTGAGGTTACCATCAAAAACAGATGTTTACTTTATCTGAGAAACTTTATGAACAAACACCCTTTTCTCTTCTAAAAAAAAGCCTCTCCCGACTTGAACCAGCTTTTTGTAGACTTGTGAGCAAGGTTTGAAAATTGGGGAATGTGTGGAACTCTACTAGATAACCTCAGTTTTAGCTGTGGTATATTTGAGACAATGTGACTCATTTAATCCAATCACACCTAAATGCAAATATTTGATGGGTTCTAAAATTGATTATCAAACAGAAAAAAGTGTGTCCAAAAAGCTTCTAGGTGTAACACACAAGGGTATCTTTCAGGGTGGTGAAAATTAACATTGAATTCTTAGAATCATTCTAGTACTATTTCCACAGCTGATGACTGTACAAAAAGGAAAGGATTTTGTTTTTGAAAGAGAGTCTCCTCCACAAGAGGTATTTTACCTTAAGATGATATGTTCTCAGTTCATAAATATGGCTTGGCGCCCGTGCTTCTGGTTCACCGAAAAAGGCGAATTCATGGAGAAGCTGAGTTTCCCTGTTATTCAACATGGTTCGTCTCTTTCTTGCAAACTCAAGATACTCCTGGAGAAAGAAGTCAATATATTTAGAATGTTTACAACACATCTTTTACTGTTATTCCTTTGACTCCTATGAGTGACTAACATCTAATTTCTCCTTACAATATCAGCCTCTGAATCACACATTAAGGTCAGGAGAATAAAGGAAATGATCACCAGCCAAAGAAGCTTTTGATTATGGTATTCAACAAATTCTCCTTGTCAGAATCTCAGGAAATGTATAGAGAACAGTATGGAGAATATGCATACCATACTGATGTTAGGGTGTAAACATTTTTGACAAGGTGCAACTGAAACCATCTGGAAATGTTTTGGTAAAGCCAAAATTAAAAATTATGTTTGCATCAATATTAATGAAGAGATATCACAAGTTGTGTGCTTCAAAATGCCTTACTGTCAATTACATTTTCAGCAAAATTTTTCGGTCTCTAACTACTGCATTTTTATGACAGTGAGACAAAAGGAAAAGTAAGGTGAAATGACAATTTTTTTCTTACTTTGATTGTAAAACACATTGTGCTCAGTATCTCCACTCTCAAGAACTGGAGGTTTTTTTTTTAATAAGCCTTTGAAATACCAAGAGAATAAAACAAAGTCAAAATTTAAATTTGCCCACCTTGTTTTCTCTGACATACTGCTTAGCTTTCACCACTGAGTTGTATCCACCTCTATATTTCCAAAAATGAACTTTAAACCAAAAGAAAAAGTGATTTAACTCTCAACTCTTTAACTCCTAAGAGTAATCATCACATAATTTATAATGCAAATGAATCAAACAATAAGGTCATGAGAAGAAAAGAAATATGACCCACTAAAGAAGCTATTGATTGTTAAACAAATTCTCTTTATCTGCACCATACGAAATGTGGAGAGAATAGTATGGAGAATCTACAAACTGATCTTACAGTGTAAAGGATTAAGACTCTTTAGCAATGGCAGGGGGAGTGCAACTGTGGCTGAAAGATATGCTGAACCCCTTCGGCTGATTAGTCCAGTCTTTGTTAGAGTCACTCTTGGCCCAGATTGACTATGCCAGTCATGAAGCAGAAAACAGAAAAACCACAGCCACTTTTCTTTTTAAATCAACATTCCATAAGAAATTATCCTGAAATAGTTGAATTTGGATACCTAATAATGTGCTCAGCTTTTAAACCCTATTATTATATGGCTGTGTCTCACAAGGACTGGGACCTACCGAATGCACAAATTTGATTGGCTGAAATCAATATTGAAAGCGGTCTAGATTTTCCCATCTAGACCGGTCTAGAAAAAAAAGGTACAAAGAATATAAAAAATTGGCATATAAGACAGCCATATAATAAACATCTAACACAATGACACCTAAACCGCCCAAACCGCGCAATTGGCTCGTGCGAGTACTTTCCCTTCTACATCCTCTACTAAGTAGAGTTTTGTCCTCAAACTTCCTCTACGGTTTGGAGATCAATAAACCAATCAGAATCCATCGTTTGCGCATATATTTTGATGGCTTTAGGGGGTACTAGAGGGGCATTATTCTATGCATCTTCACTAAATGATCAAATTTGAAAATATGGCGTCCGCGCGGCCGACCCTCAAAATTTTCAGGTCGGATTTTTCATTCAGTTGCGATCAAGTTAGACCTTGCGAAACTCAGAATGTAAAGTAGCAATGCTATAGAATACTCTGCTTGGAAAATAATGGATATCAAGGTCTTAAGGTGACAGAATAAGCTCTCGAGTCAACGACACTACGATTCTCTACTTGGTGATGCGAATTATAGATGTAAAGTAAAAACCAAACTTTTAGACTTCCAGGAGGGCCTAGCAACAAGTTGACGATTCGATGGCCTGGTATATAATTATTATGTTCAAGTAACAATGTATTAAAAAAGTATTGTTAAATAGAAGATTTTGCATCAAATAGAAGTTTTTTCAGAATTTTCAACATAACGCTGAGCAATTTTCTGGCCACAAAGGCAAGTAAACAACAATCTAACAATGATTATTTTTACCGTGTGGGCTTTGTACACATAAGAAATTCGTACATTTTTTGCTTATAACAGCAAATCAAAAACTGTTTTGAATAAGTCTGTCGTCCCGAAATATTTCTTGGTCCTTTTAGCCTTGCTTCCTATTGATAGATTCCATGGAACTTGAGATCTCTTCACTTATGGACAAATTTGCTTATTCCCTTTTGAAATATGATCCGCATGCCCATTTGCACAGATGCGAAAATATTTAGCAATTTTTATCTTTCATCTTGATTTTTGAGTAAAAACTTAATAAGCACCTATCTCTTTTTTCGGCGGAAAGAAGTTCTTTAATTAGTCTTCTTTCACTGGAGCTTGTTTTTTGGAAAAGATGATGTTTAAAAATTTACTGCGCATTTTGTTTGCTTTCTTAGTTTCTCCAAAATTTTGACTTTTCATCAGCACGTGTTACACGTAAGTGTCAATGGGTTAACTGAGCTAGGTCGGTCTGTATGGGAGAATCTTGACATCGGTCGCTGGTACAGACCTCACTGCATTTAGTCTGTACTGGCGACCTCGGTCAAGATTCTCCCATACAGACCTTCCGCTCAGTTAATAAGAACTAAAGAATAACCAGTATGCTATTTCTCTTTACAATAATACTGCTGAATCATTCCATAAATGATTGCTAATCTAAGAAGCTTTGATTGATAAACAAATTCTCCTTGTCAATGCCAAAGGAAATGTATAGAGAAGAGTATTGAGAATTGAGATACTGATTTTAGGGTGCAAAGGATTAATATCTGACTGTTTTACATACTTGCTTGATCAAGTCTTCCAAACATGGTTGTCCAGGCTCCCACCAACTCACCAGGAAACTGATCATCTTCACTAATTTTTGGTAAAAATTCTGATCTGAAACATTTTCATTACGGAAACATTGTCAACAAATTTAATATCTGGAAGGAAAATTATTTCATCTGTTTTCCTTAAAATAGGGAAGAGCACTGAAGAGTCAAAGGTGGTCAACAACTTCTACAAATGAATAAAGGCTGATAGTTTCTAAAGAAACTGTTTGGGGCTGCATCTGTGGGGGTAACAAAATAATTCGAATATATCAACAAAGTTGAAATGGTAAATTGGCCACCAATCACGTAGCTCCATTTCTGTCTTTAAAAGCACACACAACCCACAATTCCTCTATTCGCTCCGACAAAGGGCTAACGCTCGAAACATCAGCTTTTAAAATCGTAACGGTGGCCAATTTACCATTTCAACTTTGTTGATAAATTCAAATAACTTCTACAAATGCCTTGAGCTCATGATGGGATACTTACACCAGACCCACATAGTCTTCGATACATTCCGGCTTTACATCATTAACTACGAAGAAGACACAAAATACAGAGTTTGTGAATTAGCACAAGGCTGGCACAAGTCTAGCACAAGTGTAACTAAAATCGTATCATGAAAAAAAAATTATATGAGTAATTAAGTACTACTAAATCTCACTCTCTTCATTACATTTCCAAATTAATATTCACTCGCTTTAAGCTTTAATCTACTTTTTTAAATATATATTCACTGTAGGATTTACTTGATCTTAACAATTCCAGGACTCTCTCGATCTCATGTTTCACTCCTTAAAGTTTCTTCATTGTTTTGAAACCTTCGTGATTATAAACGAACTAGGACTGTGTACGCAGCTTAAAGAAATGTGTAAACTATGTTAAGTAGCGAGCGATTCAAAATTTACACAATTTAGAAATAAAACTTACATTCAAACTCATAGAGAGTTTCCTTCTCAGTCAAAACTTTCGAGTGCGCATCTGTTGGCTTTTCAACTTCTGAGCCAAAAAGGGTGGAGAAAAAACTTTCTTCCTTTCTTTTGCCGCTGGTAACCGAGAGAGCTCTGACTGATACAAACCCTTCTCCAACTGGTAAAATACATCTTCGAAGGAGCGAAGTAGCTCGCTTGGCTATAAAAACCGCCGCCATGTTGGATTTGAAGAACGCTGATCCAACTGGTTAATCGCTGGCTCGTGACTCACCTCACGAGCCTCAAATGTGGTCAAAAGTTATTCCGTGAGACACTTAATTAACAATGGATGAGGTTGGGCACAATAGCGATAATTATCAAGGCTTAAGTTTGTGTTATTTGCCGAAGTCGAAGGCTGGGACAAGGCTGTGGCGGATAACACAAACTGAGGCCTTGATAATTATCGCTATCATGCGAAAACCGAATCCAATGACTGTTTTGTTATGCATATTCTTCAGCTGCACTCAGTAAAGACAAGAGCCGGCTTAAATTAAACCATTGTCTGATCATGTAAATTGGCCACCGTAAAGAGTTTCAAAGCTGTCGTTTAGAGCTTTAACCCTTCGGCAGAGTGAATAACGAAGGGCTAACGCTCGAATTCTGGATTCTGAAAATATTTTCAAAAGTCTTAAGAATATCAAAAGCAACAAAGCAGCAGGCCCTGTTGGTATATCAAGTACAATTATTTCTCTAGCCGGCCCTGCAATTATTAATGGCTTGGAAAATATCTTCAAGCGCAGCTTTGTCACAAGAACTGTTTCCATTTCATGGAAAAGAGCAAAGGTTACCCCTATCTTTAAAAAGGGAAATAGAACTGACATTGCCAACTATAAACCTATATTCTTGCTGTGTATCCCAAGTAAATTACTGGAACATCAGGTCTGTAATATAATTAATGAGCACCTAAGTAACTCCTCTCTAAAAAGTCTATCACAGTGGGGCTTTACAAAAGGACTATCATCAGAAGGCATGTTACTAAAAATGACAGATACCTGGAAGATGAATATGGATAAAGGTATGATTGTGGGTGCAATATTTATTGACTTTTAGAAAGCTTTTGATAGCATCTCACACAACATCTTGTCATTAAAACTCCAAGCTATTGGATTAAGTGGGAATCTCCATGAGTGGCTGAAGGATTATTTGAAAGACAGATTTCAATACACTGTCACAGTGGTAAATGACCACTCTTCTAACTTGGATGAAGTGAAATATGGTGTTCCCCAAGGATCCCTCCTGGGTCCAAGGCTTTATACTATCTACGTCAATGACCTCCCTAATGCTATTACATCTGGAGACTCGTTCATGTATGCAGATGATACAACATTATATTGTGTGGGGAAGAACTTTGATCAGGTCTGCTCACAATTAAATAACATTCTCGAGCAACTTCTGCTTTGGAGTACAA